CCTACCTTCCCTCCAAAATGAGACTGCCACACCTCTTTCCTAAACTCCTTAAGCTGTCACAGGGGAGGGGTTTTAGGGGGAACTAGATGAAAGGAGGTGAAGGGAATTAGCCAAAGAATATATATGCATGACCCATGGACACAGACAACAGTCAGTGTGGTGAGGGCCTGAGGGAAGAGTGGGGAGGGCAGGGGGAGGTGGGCAAGGGCAGGGAAAATGGGGCCATCTGTAAGAGTGTAAACAATAAAAATAAAGTTTAATAAATTATGGTAAAGTAGAAGAGCTGCACAGTTTCATCATGCTGAAATGCCTCCACCACAGGCCCCCTTTTTTCCTATTCCTTATCAAGTAGTTCTTACTTTCTGGTGATAAACCCACACTGGAAGTAGCCAATTAAAACCACTGGCATAAATGGCTATTAAGTTCTCCTAGACACCACATGCTGCAGTTGGAAACAGCCTAATCTGGTTCAGGAGCATCCAGACCAGGGCCAGAGTTACTATTTTATTGTTTCCATAAAATGCATGGTCTTTTTGCACTTAAACGTGTCTCCTTGGTAAATCAGACCTAAATCACATTATCATTCTTCAGCCAACACATAATAAGGAAGATATAGTATTGGAGAAAACAATGGGAACCACGTACAGATTTTCTGGCAAAACTGTCATTGTCATTACAACCTGATCAAACCAGAATTTTGAAAAAGGCAAGACTAGTCCCTTACATTAATTTTATCCTTTGAAAAAATAATTATAGTGATTTCTCAACCCTAAATCACTGAATGCTAAGAAGTTAAGCCAAGGTAATAGTAAATCCTTGTGTTAGCTTTACCCAAATACCTTCCCAGCTAGAAAATGGAGGAGTATTCTCTATTGGAAGAATGAACCTTTTATTGCTAGAGTCTACATTTTCCAACTCTGGTAAATTGTTTGGAGCTTGGGGGGGAGACCTGGATATGTTCCCTTGTATAATTATATTTTGTTGGAAGAAAAAGTACTTGATTCGAGTAAAATGTGGTCAGTCAGAAACAGACTTTGCCAGAGTAGGAAAAAATTCAGTGTTAAATGATATTTTGATCACTGTGAAGAATTTGAGATAAAGACTTTAGCTTCTGGAGGCATAAGAGAGGGCCAAAGGCTCCTAATGCTGAGGTTTTGGTGTTACTTTAACATTGGAGATGGATGCAACAGTTAAGGTTTATTTTCTTTGTTGTGTTGTTGTTGTTGTTATTGTTGCTGTTACTGAGATATTTTGGCTATACCTAAGAAAGGGATATTGTGCAAGGGTACATTGGCCAACTTGATCAATCTGGAAGGATCAAAGTAATCGGAACAGTATAATGAATAGAACATTGGTATTGAATTCAAATTCTAGTCCTAGTTCAACTATGACCTTTGCAAGGTAATTTTGCATCTTTGGCCTCAATTTCTCATCTGAAAAACTAAGAAAATGTACTAAAAGTCAGTGGTCCTTTATGTCTTTGTCTTCTACGACACTTATAAGCACAAGATTTCCTATGGGCTATACTGGAGTCATCAAATTCTCAGTGGCCTAACTTTAATTCTATCCCTCTCTTTCTTTCTCAAAAGGTATATTACAATGCATACAAAGGACAGTGACTTTGTTTTCACAAAACTCTTGAATCTGACCCTACTGATTTGATCCTACTGAATCAGATCTTACAGAGTCTGATTTGATAAAAGCAAAAATTTTTCTAAACTTATTTTATGATTAACAACAATAACAATAATTCATTAATAAAAATGTACTTGGAAACTTTCTCACTGTTGCCACATACTCACATGTGGTATAAATCACTATTGATAGCTGGGTGACTATGTGGTTTCTAAAATATCTCAGACTGTCAATATTCTAAAACTGTGAAATTTTCTCTCATCTGAAAATTGATGAGTGAGATGATGTTTCACTTTGTGCTGGCCTACTATGAAAGGGTTGGAAACACAAAACTGATAAAAATCTGTGGCTGTCTCTACTTCTTTTATCTTAATTAAATTACTAAATTACTAAAAATAACAAACTGGAAATAAAACCCAAATTCTACTGTTGACCAAGGGGAACATTTAAACATCATTTCATTCCTGCTCTCATGCCCTGTATAGTTTTCTGAAGTCCAGAAATATGTTTTCTTAAAGGCATTCATTTTAGTTATGAAAGAAAATGTGATAATCAAAGATGATTGCTTTTTCTCCTCTATGCAAACACATGGGTAGACTGTAATCACTTTGTCTGTATCCACATGTGTAGCTGGGCATGAGCATGGGATGAAGGGAACATAATGAGTTATGTAAGCCCTCAGAGAGGTCTGGAATGAAATACCTGAAAACCAGTCACCTCTACCTCCAATCCATAACCTCTACAGAATTGGGTGGCTTAGCTCAATATTCTCTGAAGAAATTTTTATTTGTGAGATAAAATTGAACTGCACTTACAAAGTGGTCTTCTTTGATAAAGAGATTTTTAGTAGTTTCTTTAAAAGATATAGTGGTTTTCCTAATAGGCAATGAATCATAGGACACTATGTATTATCCAAACACAGCCAGGCTCTAGAGCCTCATTTGTGAGATGAAAAGACTATGGATTTGGTGTTTTTGGTCATCTTGGTGTCTGATCTTATTGGTTTTGTAAAAATAATAATAATAATAATAATAATTGACTACAAATGATTGATCCAGGAGCCAGCATGGATGGCTTCAGCTTCACTTAAGCTATAATTTTATCATGTTTATGGTGACATGCTTCTCACTTCAAAACTGTGCAGTCCCTGTTTTGTGGCATTGTGAAACCCTAACTACATGTTTCCTATAACTCTCTAGTCATCAAAGACTATAGGCCTAATTGGAGACTGGAAATTCTGAATTTATCTAGCTGGCAGCTAGTGTGGCTAACTAAAAAAGTAGAAAAGAAAAATACACATGGTACATGAGAATGACACCATTTCAGTATTATCCCATTTTTCAATAGATACTCATGGTCTTAACTTCCTAATAACAGGTGATTTGATGCTTTCACATTTTCAAATGGCATACTTTTGCCTCAGCCCTCATTTACTATGACAGATGGCTAGCCAGGATTTTCAGAATTGTAGTCTGATGTAGCTGGATGTAGACAATAGAATATTAGTAAATATCAAAAGCCCGAATATTTTGAAGAGGTTTTGCAAAAATTTATAATAATTATTTTTAAAAATCAATAATCACTGTACTTTGCAAAGAATATATGTTTAAGTTCCAAGCTTTGCTATTATTTATTTAGTTGATTGTCTTCAGTTCAGTGATGACTCTGTTAGAAACTATGGAATAAAATTTCATCACATTTTTATCTGACATAACTCAGTGAGATAGAATAATAAAATAATGAACATTTGTCTGTCACTATAGTTTTCTCACATTATATCGTTGATTATCAGCAGCTGTGACTTTATGTGTCTGGAATGAAATATCTTATTTACCACTGTATCTCCCTCACCTTGCCTAGGGTGTGGCACAAAGTAGGTGATCAATATGTATTTAGTAAATGAATGATTGAAGTACTCTGTGGTGGAAGCAGAATGGGTATTACTCTTTTCTCCATTTTATAGGTGAGTCAACATCACAGAAAAGTTAAGTGACTTGCTCAAAATTATAGCCAGCAAGTAGTGGTGCCAGGCCTTGAACATAGTTCTTGAGACTCCAAAACCCAACCTTTCCTCCAGATTCTTGGATATATGGTCTAATTCTGAAGGTAATTGGTAAACCCCATAACTTCTCTGGACTTCATTTAATTTATCTGTATAAAAAGAGAAGGCATTATTCTGTTGCTCTGAGGTCTCACTTAAGTCTACCACTATGGACTTAATTTACAATATCTTTTATAATGAAATTCTGTCTTCCGAGAGTTTTATATTAACCAAAGAAGTGATCCAGAGAGCTCAAAGCTGTGAGATGGCCCAGAGAAGGGAGGCTGAGGGCCGCTGTCATCGGGTCACTTCCTAACAGTGGGAAGAAACTTCAGACTAGAAGCTTCCTCCTTTATGAAGTCAGTGAAGTTGTTTTGGGGTTGGTTTAGGTTGTGAAGAGGCCCTGGAAAATTATATCTGATTTTTAACATGCTCTAATTACTCTAGAAGCTTTCTAGTAACAAAGTCCACATTTATAACCTTGCTTACACAGCTAGCTCACCACCTTCCCCACAGACACACTATGCACCATTTTCTACCACATGCTCCATGGCTCTAATCTGGATGTAGCTTTTATAATTAATCCAGTGGAGACAGCCTCCTTTGTACATGCGACCGAGAATTTCAGGGGTAGATATCAAATTTGGATTTTATTTTATTTATTTTTAAAACATTTTATTTATTTTTAGAGAGAGGGATGAAGAAAGAAAGGGAGAGAAACATCAATGAATGAGAAATACATTGATCAGTTGCCTCTCACACACCACTAACTGAGGACCTAACCCGCAAACCAGGTATGTGCTCTGACTGGGAGTCAAACTGGGAACCTTTCAGTTCCCAGGCTGGTGCTCAGTCCACTGAGCCACACCAGTCAGGGCTTGGATTTTATTATTAAAAAATCATTCTTCACATCACACATAAGACTCCAAGTAATTAATTCCTATGCCCTGGACTGATTCATTGTTTTCAAGAAAAACCATTGAACACAAAGCTGAAGGCCCTGTGTAAATTAGTTCCTCTAATTTACTTCAGCCAGTTGCTCACTTGAAATATACACAAACAGAAGATGTCAAGAACTATGCCTGCTATACCTGCTGTGGTTAGTCACCCCAATCCCCAAACACAATGAAATCTGATTACAGAGGACTGAGCAATGAAAGCTCAGCCAAAATTAGAGACAGCTGTCTCTGAGGGTCAAACCTGGCATTACACTCTGCAGAAAGAGGGCTTTTGAGGCTGCATTACTTACTCTACAGAATAGATAAATTTCATTTATCACCATGGTTCCTAGATCACACTGAAATCTCTGGCCATCATCACTTACCGAAAATTTCGAACCACAAAACTGTGACCATTTCTAAGAGCTGCATTGTTCAACAGGCTCCTCAAATTAAACAGCATCTTCTTTTGCTAGTGAAAAGGATGATTCTATACTCTTGAAAATGCCTCACCGAAGTAGTCAGTGGGGTTCGCCTAAAAGCTAAGAATGCTTTTGATTGCAGCGAGAGAGCAAAGGTAATATTAACCTTCAACTACCTTATCAAATTCCCTTGTTTAGAGATACTGCAGGGCAGGGTTCAGGGGTATTTGAACTTTAAGCCAAGCTTCAGCACTGTATACTTTTTAGAAGGAATTCTGAGTCTTTTGGTGCATAGACTCCTCATTTTTCATAATATATTTATGCTGTCACATACTTGTACAAAATCAATTGACAAGTACTCATTGAACATACAATATATGCAAGGAAATGCAGTGCTGGCCACTGTGAAGGCACATAGAAATAATTCATTCAGAAAATATGAACTGGTAGTGCCAAACCCCAGATGTAGATGTGACAGCCCTGAGTATTTCCAGTGATATCACCTTCATATCTCTAATTCCCAGCCTTGACACACACACACACAAAATAGAAAGAAGTGCCCTGTGGAAGCTTTCAGTTTTACCTTTTAAGATGATGATGATGATGATGATGATGATGATGATGATGATGATGTGGCAAGAAGCTGGAGTGAGAATAGAAGTATAGTAAAAATGTCTCAGTCCTAGAGCTCCCATCATGTTTTGCACATAGTAGATCTTCAATAAATCACTAGCTGCCTATTAATTCTAGCAAGAACTCAGAATCAGTAGAAGTGGGGAGGGTGATTCCATATGCTTCTATAGCAGCCTCTCCAGCTCACTAAGGGGCTATCCACAGTTTCATGTTCATTCATTCACCCACACTTATAAATCAGATATTTTCAAAATCTATTTTGTGTCAGGTATTGGGTTAGGCTAGAATTTCAGAGGAGGAAGATGAGCTCACCTTTACAGAGTTTATAGTTAAATAAGGGTGATAAGATTTCTAACTAAATATCCCTAACACAATCCCATAGGAGATGTCCAGATGAAGTGCTACCACATCATAGGAAACAGGGAATGCCCTAAGCTGGGAAGGGCAGGAGGCAGGAGAAGAGGGAAAGCAGTGGGGGCTGCCTATGTTGGTCAATTTATTTGACTTTAGCAAACCCAGGTAAGCACTTGCTACAAGTTTATATAACACAAGAGAAGTATTCTTTAAAAACCAACTATGGCCACTTCAGGGTCAGGGATGGTTGTGATGTCATCATTAATATCAGCAGGAAAATAAATCCTGGCACTATTCCCTTCTACTTATGGGGAATGATATGGAATAAAGAGTGAGAAAGACCAAAATTTCCAAATCTCTGCTAAATCTTCTGTTTTGGAAAGAATATTCCAGGCAGAGGCAAGTGTTTACAAAGCTGTGGAGGTAACAAGGTATAGAGTGAATGCTTCAAGTGGGAGAGCAGGTCGATACTTTCTTTGAAAAGATCATAAAGCATCTTGGAAGAGGCAAAATGGGAAAGTTGTTGGATAGGGTTCAGAAAGCAAAAGTGGTCTATGTAATACAGGGAAGGAAACTGAATGTTTGCAGGGAAACCAAGGGAGAAGACATCAACCTGTATGCTAATATAAAGTCCATATCTTTAATCAACTGTGTTACTTACACAGACAACTCATGTGAGAAATGTATGGGGAGAAATCAAGAAGTGTGTGCAGTACTTTGGTAGATAATGTGAGCAGCACTTCTGAGATGTCAAAGTAACTCATAAACCCTCATAATTCTATAAAGGTAGGCACTCAGTGCACCAGAGGGATTAAAAGAAAACTTTAAACCACCCATTACCCCCAGAAATATTGGAAGAGAAATGCTACTCCACAAATGGAATGAGGTCAAAGGCAATTTCACTGAATCTCAGAAGACAATATATCTCAGCTGACATCTGGGTCACATGTGGAAAAGCAACTTATGGAGTTTTCATTTGTCCTCTCACTTCATGACTCCTCTAATTCCTGTTCAACTACCTGGTTTGGCTCCCTACCAAGTTCCCTTCCTCCATTCAGCCCTCCATTCACTCATTTTTCTCTGCTGCCAACAACTGTGCAGCCACAATAGGCTCGGTCCCTGTGCTGGTGTGCTCTTGATGAGTCCCTTCCTACGTGTAGTTCACCATTTGGAATGACTCCACAGCACAACTTCTGTATCTGTCCCCTGACTCCATGTGTTCTAACCAAGGAGGAAGGACTTGTTGCCTGCTCCCTTGCTTCAGGCCCCATGGGACCTCCAGCTTGGCTTGCTCCTCATCCAGCTTTCAGCATTGAGGGTGGGAGTAGGGGTTAGATGGGGTTCCTGGATAAGGTGGCACTAATCCTTGATGAACTGGGGAAAATTAGGTAATTGTCAAACTGGAGGGACCTATAAAGGATATTACAGTGAAGTAAGGAACTTGTGAGTAGACCCAAAAGAAAGAAATGAATAGGGTGTGTGGGGTAATGACAAGTGATTCACAATTGGAAGTGTGGATCAACCCCAATTATTGACCATTATATGAAGCCATGCTACCACCAAACAAATTATAAAACATAAAACCATGAGTGTCTATGTGTCATCTATATCCCCTTTGCATTTGGTCTACATACTTGCCACTTCTTAATGCAACAACCCATGACTGTCTACCTGAGGATAAAATTCCCATGCTCCTCACCCTTGTGTGGGTAACCATAATATGTGTTTTACTTGCTCTCCCAAAGGTCTCCAGTGGGACTGAGCCTCCATTTCCCACAGTAGAAACCTGCTCATCAGTGTGCCCTTATTAGCTGTCTTCCCTTCAAGGTGTCATTTCTCTTACTCCCCTACCAGTACTTCCTGGGATCATCTTCCGTATAAACTAAATCCCTTTCACAATGTCTGCTTCTGTGGGAACTCAATCTTTGCTCAGGTCTCCCTTATCAACAATTTTTCGTGTTCAATGCTTCTTGTTCTCTTCTCTTGGCCCCTCTTATCTCTGATTTGGTACCTGGGCTTTCAGTGTCAATATCTTTGTCCCCCATATCATAAGGAACCCCCACTCTCAGATTTAGTCTTTGTTACCCTGCAACTGGTGGTGTGCTGGTAAATTTTTAATAAGCAGTTCTTCAAAAAAAGAAAAAAGGTTTTGATTTCTGGTATTGACTGATTTGTCTGATTAAATGTTCCTACCATGCCATGGTCAGCTTTAAGCTACCACAGTGATGTCACTTAATACACAGTTGGGAAGAGAGGTATAAGGTTGGCTCTTGCAAGCCATTGTGAGCTGGCTCCAGTACACCACTGACTACAACCCACATCCTGAAAGGAGGATTTTTTCAAGATTTGAAAAGGAATATTGGAGTCAGATTGTTGATGGATTTAGAAAGCCATATTATGGAATTAAGAATTTACTCTATAGTCAAAGAAGATTATTAAAATTTTAGAGCTGGAGCAGACAAGGGGACATGTGTCAGTATCTGCATTGTGTTTTGAAAACACTAATCCAGCACCATTGTGTAAGAAGTACAGTGGGGAGAAAATGGAGACAAGGAGACACAAATTTCTGTGTTATAATGGCCTGAGTACATACTGGGGCTGTGGAAATAGAAAACAGGGGATGGGTGCAAGAGAGATTTAGGGATTAGAATCCACCTATCAGAAGAACAGTTGATTAGATGTTGAGGGTAGATGGAGGAGTTAATGAGTCTCTAGGATTTTAAATTTGTGCTATCATATTTGAGTCTAAAATTCCAAATAGCCAATCTGGGGATATAAACATTGTGAGTTCCCTGACATTTAAAGTTTGTGAGTATCATGTATGAACTTGTAATATTTCTTTGAAATTGTTACTGGGCCTCCCTAGTGAAATCTAAGCACTGAGGAAGGAATCAATGTAATGTAAAGGAAAGAATTATGAGAGGGATGTTTGAAGTTCAAGTGTGACCTCTGGTTGGTTGGGTTCTTAACTGATGGTGAACTTGTCTAAGTCACTTGACTCCTCTAACATCCTCACAGTACTCATCCCTTCAACTAAAGGTATTATAAAATGAGCTGTTATATTGGTTGGTAAACTTTAACATGTTAACCAAACAGAAGATACAGTGTCTAAGAGCCTCAGCATAGTTATTGCTAAAGATCTATCAGAAATTTGAACTCTGCAAATAAGACATATGGCTGTTATTGCAGTGAGAAGCTCTGCTTATCTCAGAATGTTACTAATTACATAAACACTTTTTATAGCTGGTTATCTGGAATCTTTAAGACACTAAGAAACCACAGCATTTACATGCAGTACATACTTTTGTTACAAGCTCTGTGAGATTGTTGCTGGTGATCTATCTTTCACTGGCTATGAACAAAGAAGCACATATCCCTGTCTGAGACCAGTAGCCATACTGTGACTATGAAGAGAAGCAGACTTAGAATGAAGCTGTGGTTTGGCAGAGTGGAAGAAGGATGAAACCTGGTCATGTATGACATGACAGTTGCAAAGTCAACCAACCTCATGACCCTCCTCACCAATGGAAATCTTGTTGTGTAAAATAATAAATGTCCTTTTTCTTTAAGCCACTCTGAATTGGATTTTTTGTTACTTGCAACCAATGCATGCTGATACATTATTTGGGTTAGGTTTTTGAAGGTTTATTTCTCATGTAACAGGTAGAGAATGATGTCTTTCAAAGCTGTGTTTCTAGTTTAGGACCTATTGTTTATTCATTGAATAACCTTGGGCAAATCAATTTCCTTATCTGTAAGTGGAAACAATATTCTTATTCTGTCCTTTATTTTTTATATTTTGGTTAAATTAATGTATTGATATGTTTTCTTTTAATTTTTTCAGGTTGGGTTATATGTTAGATATATATTTAACTTTAGAAGAAACTGCCAAAATACTTTCCAGAGTGGCCATATCATTTTACAGTTCTCCCAGGAATACAAGAGGGCTCCAGTTGCTCTGAATCCTTGTTAGCACTTGGAATTATCAACATTTTTCATTGTTGCCATCCAAATAGGTATGTAGTAATTTCTAATTGTGGTTTTAGTTTGCATTTACTTTAAGGCTAATGATTTTAAGCATCTTTCTTTGTGCTTATTTGCCACTCATATATCTTCTTTGGTGAAGTATCTGTTAAATCTTTTGACAAATTTATTTTTA